AAGGGTATAAAGCATGACATACTTTAGTATGTGAGTATTGTGTTGTCAGGAAATCAACTAAAGTTTTTTATGTAATATTCTGATCACAAACAAAAGCCAGCTCCTGCAGCCACCACTCCCTTATTGAGAGTGCATCCCTTAGTGTGGAGGACAGATCAGCTTGGTGTAGGACAGTTAGAGACATCATGTCTACCTTCCCTTCTGAGCAAGAAAATTTGAAATCAGTTATTGCAATTATTTCACTACTCTATGGTAAAAGAACATACGACAAAATAAAGGCTTCTCTGAACATGCACTCATTTAATGGATCCAACTTTGACTCAGAATGGGGAGAAAAATTGTTACATATTTCCCTGGACCCTGTGGTTTAACATAGCATACTCCATTTTTAAAGCAGCTCCAAAAAGAAACAATATGGATAACTGTTTTCTGCTGTTTTGAATCTTTTCAGAATTACAACTTCCAGTGAGTCCCTCTGTATGTCTGGATCAGGGAATACAATTAAAGCCGAGTACTTCAAGTCACCTTTTAAAAACAGTGAAGCCACATATCTGGAAGCCAGGGAACTGGAGACGTGAACAGCTGTAAGCTAATAATTTTGAATTGTTATAACCAGCATGCATTTTAGGAGACAGCTAACAAGAGAAAAGCACAGAACAGATCGGGGCGAGGGGAGGCAGGGATGTTACATGTTTGAATTATTAGGTTCCATTACATAAATTTTCAGCTATCCTTTCTTAATAAAGAAAGCCATCATTGACTTTCTTCCAGATTAATTCAAACCTCTGCTGCTATAGAATAAACATTTGGGTAAATTGGACTCTTATCTAGTAAGTTACATTAATGGAAATTGAATTTAAAACCTTGACAATGTGAAACTATAAAATTTTAACTTCCATTTTATACTCAAATGGCATTACCTAGCCTATGAGTATGGCTGAATGCATTTTTTCTAGCTATTAAATTTTGTGTTTTTTTCTATGGCTCCTAGGATCTAAGAAAGCATCTGCTGTGTATCAGGTTATCCAGGTTACTTCCAGGGGAAGGATTGTAGGATGTCAATATTATTAATACAACGAAAAATTAAGAGATTTTAATTATCCAAGACACAAATGAGTTTGCTTATTCTAATTTTATAATTATTAAGTAGTATTTAAGCAGAATCATGTGCATCGTGCTTACCTAGACTTCAAAAGTTAAAATTGCACAATCTTTTCATTGATTATACTTGGATATTAATATTTAACATGTGAAAACATGGTGTAGAAAAACAAATAGCTATACATTTTATTATCATTTATGATGAAAGCATATTTGTTTCATTATGAAACATTAAATTAGTGTTAATTTTCCTTTGTACACTGAAGTGTTTTTCTAATACTTCATCCCTTAAATTGACCCTTAATTATCTGGAGTGAGAGGTATTAGAGAGGATTGAACTAGTGGGGAAAGTATTTTGGCATACTTTTGGTGACCTGTCCACTGTTGCAAAACTTAATATGTTTACATGGAGAGGAAAAAATAGGGCAAAGATAGGTGAGGGCAGAAGAAAATTCAAGGAAGTATTTCACTGTTTACAAATTGTTTACAAAGTAATTTGTATCTCTTTTGTTGTTGCTGTGGTACCGCGAATCTGAGGTCATGGGTAATGTAACTAATTTAACTTTTAAAAAAACTTTAAACTTTATTCTAAGTACTATTTTCCTACCTTTTTTTCTTTTTAAAAATGTTTTGATTAAATCTGCCAGAGTGGAGAATTATTACCCATTTGATCCTCTCTCTGCACCTGTACACCCCCTGGTGGTGATCTAATAAGCAGTTGAAATTATTTAAGGAAACCCACATGCTGAAGGCTGGGGTCCAGCAAAGGATAGCAGGGGGATTACAAGCTTTTAGGTAATTTACAAATTACATACTCAACCCTAAATTATGGAGCATTAACTATGTTATGTTATTTTTTAGGAATCAAACAACAGTCCTTGCTCCGCATGAAACAATCTTTAGAGCTGAAGATCTATCTGTGATTCTTAAAGCATATGTGTTGGTGACATCCTTAACCCCTTTGCGTGCATTCATTCATTCAACTGGCACGGTTTGGAATCTACCAAAGAAAAAACGCTTCACTGTCAAGGTAAAGGCTCCATTGAAGCTGTTACTTCACACAAAGTAGACTGAAGATAAGTAAAGCGAGTTGGGTTGCCATTCTCCGACCTCTATGGTTGGCAAATCTCATTGAACAAAGATTGCATCTTTTTATTGCTGCAAGCAGAGATTTTCATTTAATAGGTGCTGGTTCAAAAATGAGCTGGAAACAGCTTAAATCACTAGGGATCACAAAGGCTACATCTTTTTTTTTTTTTTTTTTAACTCATCATTGTAGTTCAATTCTTTGACCTATTACAGAGGTAGTTCTTGGCCATACTCTGTTTTTCTTGACTTTCCACTTATTCAGGAAACAAATGAAAATATAATTTCACCCTTATGCTTTTTGCTTCATCCTTAGGAAGCATAATGTCTAGTTCATTACACCAGTCAACATGGAATATTTTCTGGGTGAAAAATAAAGCTCTCAAGTGTTCCTAATATAGCAAGCCATGACATAAAAGATGATGAGAAAGTTTTCAGGGAAGAACTTAATAATAACACCAGAAGTTTAGTTATAAAGGGTAGCTCAGGTTAACTCAGTTGAAAGTTAGGTCTAATGACAATATATTTGATACATTTTAAAGAATATTTGATTTTACAGAAATAATTGTTCAGAGTACAGGTAAGAAGAAATGGGAAGAAATTGAAAGAATGTACAGTGCCTCTCATAGCTTCAAGAGATTCAAAAGGGACCAAACTTGAGGTTTTTTTCAGAATTTATCTTACATAAATTGAATTTTGAATTCTGGAAAATCTTCCAATGGTGAAAAACTTTTAAATGGCCTATTTAAATATTGTCAGTTCAAAACACATCAAATTGTATTATATTTTAGATTTTTTCTTTTCCTAACATTTTTATATGCAGCACCACATATTTTCAGGAAGGAACCATCCTTGTTGCTGTTTGTACATCATCTGTGTTATTTTTCACTGATTCACAATATTCCATGATGTGCATTCCATTATAATTTACCTATCTGCTCCTCTGTGCTGATA